ATATATATATATATATATATATATATATACAATGACGGCTGGTTTCAATGGGCTAGGAGGGCTAAGCCCTCCCTGTCTGGCATTTACAATAAATATGTTTTTTTTTCCCTTGTCCTGTCCGGCATTGTGACACTTAGAATTATTGTCTGAGTGTAAAAGTGATGCCCAACAGATTTACTTTCACATGCAGGGAATGGCTGGCCTTAATTCTCCACTTGATATAAAAATTTTATTTTATTAGAATTTGCTTTGGGCTTGTTTCAGATGTAATGGGGAGGAAAAACAAAGAAGATAACAAAGTAGAAAAGTGAGAGAAGTGTGAAAAGGTAAAGAAGTAGATAGGAATAGAGGAGAGAGAGAGAGGTATAAAGAGAACACAAATCAACATCATTAAGTCTGCTTCTAGACCTGCGCAAAGAAAAAAAAAAAAGACAAAACCATGAAACCACAACAACAAACAACATATATAATGATACTTATAACATCATTAGAAAGTATTTTATATAGTACATGGTACTACAAGATATATTTAGTGGCCTCCACAACCCAATTGAGTGTGTATCTGATTAACACCTGAATCTAAACACCTGTGTGATCATGCTTGTCACTATAAGGTTTCTCCATAAAAATGTTCAATAGTGGATGTGGGGACCCACAGACCCATCCCCATAGGACACGATGGTAGCACAGGGAAAAGTGGAGCCACCAACACACAGCGGTCCCCAAAGCCAGAAGCTCTGGGAGTCCCCCAACAGGGACACCCCGCAAATAGAGAAGAAAAAGAAAGCCCCGGGCGATCCCCAGCAACCACAATGCAGAAACCCCAGGAGGCTGCAGCGACGAGTCCACAGGCCCCGCCGGCAACTTGCCCCTCCAGAGTAGATCCGGCCATGGACACCGAGCCCCAAGTCCCAAGATCATACCACCCCCCCCCCAACAGAAGCCCAACAGAGCTAGGGCACCCAGGCCTCGGCAGGCAGCCACCAGGGCGGGCCTGCACCCACCCCACCACCCAGCCCTGAGAGCCGTCAACGCACCAGCGGCAGGGGGGCCCGCCACTGGAAGGGAGCGCAACAGGGGGAAGTAGACCCCACATTAAATGGGGGGCCCAAATTGATCCAAGAGAGGGGACCATCTAAAACCCAACCCGAGACATAAACAGGCACACAGAGACAGCCCGACAGAGCCTATGACGGACCGTCCATGCGCCCCACCCGACAGCGACCGCAAGCCGGCCCCAGGCCGGGGGCCAGAGCAGCAGGGAGCAGCAGCTGAGGAAGGCTGGTCCAGCATACTAAGGATCAGGCACCCCAACAGCCCCACACCACAGGCCTGGAGACGCCCCAGCATGCCACCTATGCACACCCCTAGAGCTGTCAATTCTAACCCAAACCCAGAGCCCAGCCCCGCCTGACCCGGATTCGGACCGGACGTGCGCGTCAACAACCCAAGCAGGTGAGATCACAAAATATCCAACATGTCAGAGCTTCTTCCACTGGTTCCCTGTCAAATACAGAATATAATTCAAAATCTTACTTCTAACCTACAAAGCTCTCAACAACCTGGCTCCATCTTATATTACAGACCTTATTGTTCCATATTTTCCTAACAGAGCACTTTGCTCTCAGGCTGCAGTTTCCAAAAGCAGAATGGGAGGCAGATCTTTCAGTTATCAGGCTCCTCTCTTGTGGAACCAACTTCCAGCTTCTGTCCATGAGGCTGACACATTGTCCAGTTTTAAGATTAGGCTTAAGTCTTTCCTTTTTGATAAATCCTATAGTTAGGGTTGGCTTAGGTTTCCTGAACAGTGTATATATATGTACAGCTTAGTTCTGCTGCTATAGGCTTAGACTGCTGGAGGACAAATTGACCACATTTCCTCACTCTACTGCTGTCTTTACTTACTCTTTTTTGTTCAGTGCCCTGAGACAACTTGGGTTGTGACTTGGCGCTACACAAATAAACTGAATTGAATTGAATTGTTTGTATCCGTTATTATTTATTTCTTAACATTTTTGTCTTTCTTCCTATGGAAAGTACATCTGGACCTGCCATTCTGTAAATGTCCATTTCTTTTTCCTCTCCACTGAAACCCAGCCAGTCAAAGCAGATGGGTGCTCATCCTGACCCTGTTTCTGCTGGAGGTTTCTTCTTGTTAAAAGGGAGTTTTCCCTTTCCACTTTCTCCTTTGTGCTTGCTCACGATAGGAGACTGCAACGAAGTGAAGATTCAACACAATCTGCTTCTTCCTTAGATAGATAACATTTACTAATTGTCTTTTATGTATACATATATATATATATATATATATATATATATATATATATATCTTTGGACCATTATATATATGAATATATGAATATACATGTATATATGTATTTGAATGATTCTGTTCAGTACCCTAAGATGACTTGTGTTGTGACTTAGCGCTATATAAATAAATTGAAGTGAATTGAATTGCTGGATCCTCAGATGTTATGGTTTCTGGTTTTTGGCTCAGTCTTGAGGTTTTGTTCAATTTTTTTCTAATAAACCTGTCTCATTAAACATGCCTACTCTCTGCAGTCTCAGGTTTACACCAACCAACCTTAATAAATTATAACATCAGCACCACGAGGATAAGTTTTTCTCATTCACAGTGAAGTTTATATATTTGATAGGGATAATGCCAGGTGTAGCTGGAGCTCCAGTACCTGTGATGCGTCCACTGTGTTCAGTGAGCTCGTGGATCTTTACCCAGTCCTTGGCTTTCTTCTCATAGATGTTCACTACATTGTTGTTGGGGCTCACAGCAATCTCTGCAAGAAAATATATCTTAAAATATCACAACAATAAAATTACACAAAATGAAAGGATAATTTTAGTTATGCAGAAATATTTCACACAAGTTCATGTAAGTGACACTATAACAGATTGGTCGAGACCCGGGTTAACAACGACCGCCACCGGTGCTGTAGACAAACAGGGTGCCAGCAACTGTTAGTCAAAGACTATGAGGAGGAAAACGTGTCAGGAGACAGAAGGAGTAGAGGAAAGCCAAGAATGTAGGACTGATGGTTGCAACTCTAAATGTGGGGACAATGGCAGTCAAATGTAGAGAGCTGGCTGACATGATGCAGAGAAGGAAGGTAGATGTTTTATGTCTCCAAGAGACCAAGTGGAAGGGCAGCAAGGCTCACAGCATTGGAGCAGTGTTCAAACTGTTATACCATGGTGTGGATAGAAAGAGAAATGGAGTAGGGGTGGTCATGAAGGAGGAGTTGGCAAAGAATGTAATAGAGGTGAAAAGAGTGTCAGATAGAATGGATGATAAGGAAACCTGGTGGGGGAATAGTGAAGTGCAGGAAGCTATTCAAAGAAAGAGGTTAGCTAAGAAAAAATATGACAGTGAGAGGGGACTGAAGAGAGAAGACAGGAATATAAGATGCAATGTAGAGCATAAATGTGTACTGCTGTCCATTTTTAAGAACAAGGATGATGTAGTCATCGGCTGTGGGCGGCTGTGGCTGAGTTGTTAGAGCAGTCGTCCTCCAATGCAAGAGCTGGGGGTTCGAATCCACCAGCAGTCACATGCCGAAGTGTCCCTGGGCAAGACACTGAACCCCACATTGCCTCCGATGTGTGTCCCATCGGTGTATGAATGTGATAAAGCTCTGATTAGTCTCTTTAGAATGATTTGTTCAATTAGCTTTGTAGAGATCTAGTAGAGTGCTGTATGAATGGGTAAATGAGGACACAGATTGTCATGTAAAGTGCTTTGAGTATCTTGATCAGATAAAAAGGCGCTATATAAGTACAATCCATTTACCATTTACCATTTACCATTTACCATGTACAGAGCTGTAGCAACTACAGGGGAAATAAGTTGACGAGTCACACAATGAAGATCTGGGAGAGAGTTGTGGAAGCTAGACTTAGACAAGAGGTGACTATTTGTGAGCAGCAGTATGGTTTCATGCCAAGAAAGAGCACCACAGATGCCATCTTTGTTTTGAGAATGCTGATGGAGAAGTACAGAGAGGGTCAGAAAGAACTCCATTGTGTCTTTGTAGATTTAGAAAAAGCATATGACAGGGTGCTGAGGGAGGAGGTGTGGTATAACATGAGGAAATCTGGAGTGGCAGAGAAATATGTTAGACTGGTACAGGACACGTATGAGGACAGCAGGACAGTGGTGAGATGTGCTGTAGGAGTGATAGATAGCTTCAAGGTGGAGGTGGGCATGCATCAAGGATCAGCTCTGAGCTCCTTCTTGTTTGCTCTGCTGATGGATTGACTAACAGATGAGGTCAGGCAGGAATCCCAGTGGACTATGATGTTTGCAGATGACATTGTGATCTGTGGTGAGAACAGGGAACAGGTGGAAGAGAACTTGGAGAGGTGGAGGTATGCACTTGAAAGAAGAGGGATGAAAGTCAGTTGTAGTAAGACAGAGTACATGTGTGTGAATGAGAAGGAGGCTGGTGGAACAGTGAGGCTACAAGGAGCAGAGGTCACAAAGGTGCAGGACTTCAATTACTTGGGGTCCATTGTCCAGGAAAATGGGAAGTGTGGTAAAGAGGTGAAGAAGAGAGTCCAGGCAGAATGGAGTGAATGGAGAAAAGTTTCAGGAGTGATTTGTGACAAAAGAGTGTCAGTAAAAGTCAACAGAAAAGGTTCCAAGACAGTGGTGAGATCAGCTATGTTGTATAGTCTGAAGACAGAGACATGGACAAAAAGACAGGAGACAAAACTGGAAGTGATAGAAATTAAGATGTTGAGGTTCTCCTTAGGGGTGACAAGGATGGATAAGATTAGGAATTAGATCATCAGAGGTACAGCACAGGTTGAACAACTGGGAGATAAAGTTAGCGAGGCCAGACTGAGATGGTTTGGACATGTCCAGAGGAGGGACAGTGGTTTGGACATGCCCAGAGGAGGGACAGTGGGTATATCGGTAGAAGGATGTTAGAAATGCAGCTACCAGGAAAAAGACAAGGAGGAGATATATGAATGCAGTTAGAGAGGACATGGAGGTAGTTGGAGTGAGGACAGAAGATGCAGAGGACAGAGTGAGATAGAGGATGATGACTCTCTGTGAAGACCCCTGAACAGTGTAAAAGCCAAAAGAAGAAAAATAACATGCTGCTATTGAAAAACAGGAGCTGTAATCCTGATGCAATTTGTCTTTGGTGTGTAGAAAACTGAGAACCTACTGCATTCTGATGCATGCTCAATAATCCAGGTAGAAAAATCTAAAAAAGTTAAATCTGGTCCTCTGGACATTCAAAAAAAACAAAAACAAAGCGAAACAACAAAAAAATGTAGAAACGTTTCGTCTCTCATCCGAGAGACTTCCTCAGTCTGAGGTGCTGTATTCAGCTCAGTCTCTTAAATAGCACCTTCTCAGAGTGGATCAACCAGTTTTGCTGCTGACAACCAAAACCAGCTGATCACATGCTCAAGAAGGACCATCAGCCTAACAATGGATCATTAGCACACTGATGGCTGTTTACTATTCACAGAGGGCTGAGTGATACTAGCAATCACAGCATTGTAAGAGGGGGACAATTGAACATGTAGGCCTCCACCCCTGTTTAACGATGGACGGTTTCTTTTCACAAAGATGGCCTCCTTTACTCCTCTCTCAAACCATCGTTCCTCTCTATCCAGGATATGCACATCTTCATCCCTGAAAGAGTGACCGCTGGCCTGGAGATGAGTGTAGACCGCAGAGTCCTGGCCTGATGATGTTGATCTTCTGTGCTGGGCCATCCTTTTGGCCAGTGGCTGTTTTGTTTCCCCGATGTAAGACTGATCACAGCCCTCCTGACACTGAACAGCATACACAACATTACTCTGTTTGTGCCGGGGGACTGGATCTTTGGGATGAACCAGTCTTTGCCGTAATGTATTTTGGGGTTTAAAAGCCACTGGGACGTTGTGTTTAGAAAATAAACGTCTCAGTTTCTCTGATACTCCCTCAACATATGGAATGACCACTGGTCTGGGTCTGGGTTCCTCCTTTTCACCTG